AGGCACCACTCATCATTGTGAGCTATCATCCCGGTCATACTATAATGTAGGTGTGGCTTTTGAGTCATCAATTAGCCCTCATGTCAGAACAGTACACTTCACTTGTACTGACTGTTGCAGAGCAGAAAATTTCACTGATTGCCCTTTTTATTTCTTCTTTCATAAATTTAGTTATTTCTAACTTCCTTTCTTTATCCAAACACAAACATTTAAGTTAAAGGTTGAGCCAAGTATTAGAGCAAGCAGCAAGGCTGACGGTAATGGAGCGCAACGACGAAAAGTGTGAGGAAAATATCCTTATATTTTACTCCCTACCTCCTCACGTCAATCCGATTATGGAAGCAAAGTGATTGTAAACTAGACAGAACATAAGAATGCGTTCTTGCTATGGGTCCGCGCAGCTTCATTTATTTACAGCCGAGTCAGCTGCATGGCGGTTGGCCTTGAAGCATCAGCAGAAATGGTAACACGCATGGTAGAAGTAGAAAATTACAATGCCATTCCCTTACCTCCTGCTTATCTACAAGGACATCAATGGCAGGCAGTTTGATGTGGCCAATTAGAAAGCAGATATCTGTAAAATGTGCATTGGTAACGCCATCATCAAAATCACAAGCCGCGCTACAAGATATCTTTTCTTATTGTACAAAAAGGCAATGTCAATTTTATTCCCCTACTTTTCATAGATTTTAACGGTCCACTACCATACCACTCTGCTTTGCGAGACTGTTCTCTTTCCAACTCGTCAAAAGAATAAAAGAACTAAATAAATTAAAGTGAGAGTCGAGTGTAAGGAACTAAAGCAGTTCACTTTAATCCCACGCAGATTTCCAAATTTTAGTCTCCAAAGTATTACAAGTCATCATTAACGTCAGTCAAATCGCACTTCATTAACTCCGTCGCATTTTCTGGACCAATTGTTTAGATATCTGATGGAAGATGAAGAAGACATGTCAGCCTTACAAAAGCCAACTTGCCAGGTCCCACAAATCAATCTCTTATCATAGTAGTGGCTGGCGTCTAGGTGGTGTGACATTCCTGGCGGTTTGAGTCGTAAACTAATTTTCTTGCAAACCAAGGAATTTCGACTAGTAGATTAACAAATTTGTGCCAATGAAAAATGTTTTTTTTAAGTTATTTGAGTTGTTAAAAAATTGCTTGGAACGATATTTTGGCTTAAAGCACTCCCTTTAAAAGTGCATTTTTTGATGTTAAATAGAGTGCTGTTATTTTGACAAAAATATACTAAATAAGCCTAATTTATTTGTACCAAATCAAATAATGCAGTGGAGTATTTGGTTTAAAAATGGCTTGCTGCGTTGTCATCTTATGCATGTATTCATAAAACGCGTTCTACTAAATAAAGACGGGAGTCCTCTTGAATGTCACGGTGTTGCATGGTATTGGCCCCATAGCGGCGTATCTAACAAGTGTGGCAAAGTGCGAAATGAGATGTGCGAGTTTGGTTGTCAGATGTGTTTACATCTCACCTATCACCGTACTTATTTCACTAACAAAAACCATGCCTCACATTTCTCACTCATTTAGGTCTGACATTCTGACCATAGAAAAATTTGTTCATCGAGTGATTGTAAAGTCTAAACATTGAAACTACTTCACAAATTTCATAGCTAGTGTTGTAAGCTGATTCGATCATGAATTGACTTCTAACTCGACGTTGCACGCGAGGCTGGAATGATTTAACTGAGGACAGGTTACTTCCATGTATCCTCCACAGAGTGACCTAGAATCCATCCACCTACAGTGGGTGGCTTCCTTATGCGCTACCAAGATTTAACGATATGCTGAGGGATTCAAGATATTAGTTTCTCACTTCCCCTTTTTAATTCTGTTTCTCATTTCCATCAAAGTTCCAGTAATCGTGCCAGTTCATAACAGTATGCTAGACGACTACTACTGGAAGTCTTAGATTACTGCAAAGCTAGAACTGCAGCTGTAGTTATGGGTAATATTATTAACATAATCAGAAGTAGTTATATCTGCAACAGAATGCCATAGTGCTTTTAAAAACAATTAAAACAAACTAAAAACCCAATTAAAAATTGACGTCTAAGTTGAAACTGGGGACCCGTAGACCATAGGGCTACATTGTTTTGTCGCGTAGAGTTAAAAAATACCAAATCAATAGAAATTAAAATTAGATCCCTTCGTCATGCATCCCAGAGCCCGACATTGAGTCAGGATAAAGAGACACAAGGCGAAACATTTCAAATATAATTGTTGTTCTTTAGACACCAGACACAACACCACAATGGGACCACGCAATAAGCTACACGCCCCTCTGTGCGACACCTTCTGCTACTTGTTACAATGTCCTACATTTTATGCTTTCCGCAGTTCATTTTAGCCTGATTGCTTCGGTTCAACCTTGCAGTTAATGCGCTTTTAATTTTTCATCACCTCTCCTCCGTTCCAGGAACGTTAATAAGCCAAAGCATTGCAAGCAGGCAAAATTCATCTAATTTTTGCTTTAGTAAACATCTCTTCATCCATTATCTTTTTTTAATTTCTTCTTTCCGCTACTTTATTTGTGCGCATTATTCCAACAATTGTTTCAGATGGTAGTGTTTTAGTTGTGCATGTCATGAGAGGTTAGTGTGCCTACCGCCAGGGCACCAGCTTCATGTTGTTTCTTATTCCCACTTGTTTCGACCATTTTCCCTATTTACCTTTAATAGCAATTGCTTTGGCAGACAGGCTAACTAATCCGTATATAGATGGACTAACAAAGTAAACAAAGAAATCAAGGATGTTCTGAATTACCTCGCACACTGCCCACAAACGTTAGAGATTGGTATTTTGTATCCTCCTACAATTTCTTACCCATTTTTTCTCATCCCTTATCCTTTTTCTCGATAGTCCCACTTCTTGTACTCTTTCAGTACAACATTTCTTGTTATTTAACACCCGTATTGAGTTCGAGTCGCCTCCAGTCTCCTCTCCACTTGGGGGCAACAATATGCTCAAGAGCAGAATTTTGAAGAAGAACTTACGTTTACCAATTCCGTAGCGGTACACAGGTGATTCGGCAATTTCTTTTCCTCATTTATCCTTTGATCGCCTTCATTCCTACATTTTGCAAGCACAAAATTAGCAGTAGAATAATTTGGAGGGCATTATAGTAATCTGAAATTTGCCAGGCTGCGGTAAGTCTAACTTGGCTAGACTGGACTAGATTGGGCCAACTCCTCTACCATTTATACTTTGCAGCTGTTTCTTTCCCTAACATTTAAGCTCTACTTTATTTGCCACCCGAAGTCGGCTAGAAAGATTATGAGACCGATTGAGACTTTTCCACGTTGTCTCGCAGATATTGGGGAGCAGTATGCTCTTGTAGGACCACATGACACGTTCAAACAGGCGAAGGAAGTAAGACTCTCCTGTCTCTCTCTCATCCTACTTTCCTAGTCACGCCGATGTTGGGGCTTTCAGACATTTAAACATTTGAATACAGGAACAATTTATAGCATAGTTAAAGTAGTATAGA